TTCTTTTTGTTGTTGTTGTTTTTTTCCTGTGGTATCACACAAACCATGCCGTTAGTTAATTTCATTTATTTATTTATTTATTTATTTATTTTAGGTGTTGGCTATGTGCCCTGCCTCAAAAGATATTTCTTGCTCTTCCAGGTAAGATGCATTAAAATTTAGCTTGTCTTGGACATCAAAATTTTAAATCAGAACCCAACAATTCTGCGTGACATTGTATTTTGTAGTGTGTTCATAGCTTCTTATAGTATCTTACTGCCCTGAAGCTACAGATAGCCTCCTTCTTGGCATAAAGTCCTACTCATGCTCTGAGGAGGAGAGTTCTAGAGCAGAATGTCCATGCAGACCTCATCTCTCCCCAGTTCTGCCCAACCTAAGATCATCCCTAGAGTGAGACGAGAGGCCTAGTATCAGCACATGCATGCAGGTGACTATCTGAAAAGAATTATTGCAAGCATCATTGTATTATTTTGGTGAAATGTAATTAGTTAAGTTGCATAAGTTTCATCCCAAGGCGATTAAATGAAACACAGTGCTTCCACAAATGTGAGTTATTTAGTGAGCTTCTCAATGACACCTAGAAAATTCTGAGGATTTTTTCCATTAATCTGTAAACAAAATCATTTAGTATTGTCAATCTGTACTTATCAAAAAAGGAAAAAAAAAACAAACAGGAAAAATAGCTCACATGTACTGCCCTACTTATGCAAATGGTGCATCTGGTGCCTTTTGAGGTAGTGCCAGTGGTTATTTCACAGCAGGCTTAGACACCTGCGGTCAACTGATGACAAGATCAATTGAGACCACGTCCTGCCATTCTTGTTAACAGTCACCTGCTGCTTTTGATATTTGGATGTATAATGTTGTAATCTTGAGTACCTTATATTATTATATGAAGCCCAAGGATTGATGGGTCTTCAAGCAAAAATAGCAAGATATTTTTTCCTTATTATGAATATAATTCTTCCAAGTATATACTGTTGAATTTATTTTAGTCAGGAACACAATATTTACAGATTGGGATGTTTATCAGTGTGAGTGCTATGTTTGTGCCACTGCTATTGGGAATCTGGGCAACGCTATTATTTTAATCCTGTCCTATCTGTATTTGCTGCAGCAGAACTGATGCTGAGTTCTGATATAGTTGTATCTTTGAAATAGCTTGTTTTACTTTGTTGTTTGGTTGAGCTGAAGGCATTTATTCAAGCTAAACTGAGTTACCACAGCTCAAGTATGTTTGTCCTCACCTGCAGCCTCAGTACCAGATATAATTAAATTCAGAGATACTGTATTGTCAGAGTTTTATATTGCCAAATGAGGCTTCTGGTAGCCAACTCTGTCTGGATGTTGTTCTGTCCAAATTAAACTTTGCCTTTTGCTGCTTGTGCAAATAAATTATTTACTGATTTCTAAAATACTTTTTGAGGAGATTAACAGATATTACAAGAAAATGACTGCTTTTGATAAGCTATGTGACATATCATTTATTTTCCAACCAAATTTACAGTGAATGTAAATTCAATTCCCAAAGTCGTGTACTTTGCAGAACTACCACCTCCCAGTACCCTAAGAGGAACCTCAGGCAAGTAGCTGTAAAAAAATCAACCTAACAGTTTGGACTTTGAAAGTAGCCTGGCATCTTATCATCATGGTGGCATGAAGTTTACCTGAGGCAACATGATCCTAAATCTGTGAAAGTACTTATTTTGTTTTTGTTTTCTTCAATTTGATTAGGAAAAGTTAAAACATCAGAAATTTACAGTATATCTTGAATTAGGTTGGAGAATGAGTCAAATTTTGAGTCTAGCTGTAGAAGCTGACCAGATTTTGCCTCTCTTGGGAGATGTTATTTGTTGCCACATCTCCTGACTAGTGTGGTACAAAACTATTGCTATCTTGGGTTGCTTAAATTGAATTGACACAGATTGTTGAAAAGATGGATAAAGAATTGATACAATTTTTCAAACAAGAAACCAGTCTATTAAAAAAAAAAAAAAAAAAAAAAAAAAAGTTACTTGTCCATATCACAGAGAGCTTTAATGTACCATAGACCTAACTTTCCATTTAGGATCTCAATCTAAAGGGATAATGATAAACTTCTCATTCTTCTGAAAATGGTTTGGATAATGAAAACAAGACTGTTAGATTCAGTATGTCGTGCTGAGCTACTCAAATAAACCTTATAAGTTTTATTCATTTATATATATGCATATATATATATATATACACCCACACTATTGTAAGTTATTGTCAAGCCATGATTCAAAAAAAAAACATTTTATTTACATAAGCTGAAAATCTGCCTCTATTTTTTGTCAAGAATTAACTCTGCACTGAGTGATCAAATAAACAGTCATTGATCAAAACTGTTCTATTATCCTTGAGTACATGCATTTTCAACGTTTTTTTCTTCTGATTTAAAATTACCACTGATTTTATTAGGTAATCTGAACAGCTTTTATGATAGCTCTTGTTTGCCTACTTCTTCTGAAGTTTTTCCTGTTTGGTTTTAAGCTGTTAACAAGTAATATTCATTCCTTAATGTCTTGGTTGGCTCATAGCAGCCTATGGAGAGGCATAATATTTTTCAGAGCCAGATGGTAGTATATTTTGCATCTGCAGTAGAAACAAAATTGGCACCTCCTGGAAATATCTTCTGCAGTTTATTTTGATAAGTGACCATGTCACTGGTCTTAATAATATTGTGTGTTTGCTGAGGGAGAAGAAAGGGATGGTTAGCATTTTCCACATATATATATGCATTTTTTTGAAGTTGGTTGCCTACAGAAATTCAGTTTGTGAGATCCCACCATTCTGACCTGTCAGTTCATTCAATTAATTGGTTTGAAACTACTGGATAATTTCAACAAAATGGGTGCTGGTAGTTGTATCTGAACGTTTGATGAACAGCTAGAAAATGCCTAATTAACAAGGACAGAGTTACAGACTTATGTCATATGGTGTGTTTTCATTTCTTAAACATCTCTTTTTCTCTATATGTATTTATTTAAAATGCACATCCATATAATAGAAAATCATAGATATTCTTGTTGATGTATAGAATCATAATTGGGGTATTATTTGAAGCTTTGGTTACATAATTAATTTTTCAGGATTCTGCTTCTCTTATGGAGATTCTAATCAAAACAAGAAAACCTGGCTAATTTATCCATCTCTATAGAATTTCATTATTTCTGATTTTTCAAGTAGTTTATCTGAGTCATTCGCAGGGACTTTATTCTTATCTAACAAGCAGACGTACCAGGAAGTCAGAGTATTTTGAATGTCTTTGAAGTTTTAATTCAAAAGACTGTAGAACTAATGAGAAAGGAATTTTCTATTGGGAAACCAGATGTTTTTTGGTAGTATGAAAGTGCATTTTTTCCTCATTCTCACCTGTGTTGCAAAGTGCTAATATCATCTGGCTTACAGATGAGTCTTAAAAATGTTCTGAGCAATTTCAGTACTTGTTCAAAGTTCACACTGTTAGGCAGAGATTCTGTGAGAACATGAGAACTCATGGAAGTCTCAGATTATATATTGCTGCCACATGTATTCTTGTATCTGATCTGAAAGTTATAAAAGCTTGCCATACTTACTATGAAAAAAAATTCAGTTAGATTCATTTTGATAATCTGGTTAATTCAAAGAACATGTCTCATGAAAAACGTAAAGTAATACAGGTAAGGGTAGGCAAGATGAATATCACTTCATAACTTAAAATCAACAGTTGTTGTTTGTATTCTGTGTCTTACTTTGTTTTGCAAATTTAGATATTTTCTAAGAATTTTTATTTTAGTATCTTCTAATTATAGTGAGAACTTTTTAGGACATGGTGGATTTTGTACATTAGAAAAAAGGAAGAGTATTTTTCTTATTTATAAAAAAACAGTTCTTTATATTAAAATGTGTTTTCAATAATTATATTAAGAGAAAACATTAAGGAACAGGAAATGCATATATATAATATGCTTTCATAGAAATATGCACTCTCAATTCTTTTGATTTTCAAGACAAACAGCGTGCAGTGTATTACAAATTAAAAGTTATATCAGAGACACCAGAGCAAATTTCAGAACCCAGAATTAGTTGTAACCTGATTTCTTACTTTGTGGTGCATTTCTTCTTCAAATTATTAGACTGTTAGAACTACTTTTGCTTTAAATTGTTAGGAATAAGAAATATACTTAGAATCATAGAATGGTTGAGGTTGAAGAGGACCTTAAAGATCATCCAGTTCTGACCCCCTGCCATGGGCAGGGCTGCCACCCACCAGACCAGGCTGCCCAGAGCCCCATTCAATCTGGCCTTAAACATCTCCAGGGATTTCTGGATTTCTTCCTAATATCTAACCTAAATCTCTTCTATTTAGTTAAAACCATTCCTTCTCATCCTATCACTATCCAATGCTGTTTTATTACCTCCCATATTGAGGGAGAGAAAAAAACAAACAAAAAAACAAAACAAAACAAAAAAAAAAAAAAAAAAAAAACCAAAACCAAAAAGAAGGCAGTTTTAAAAGATTTCAGATTCTACAGAGGTTTCTGAATGCTTGCATTCAGCTGGTCTGAAAACCAGCTGAGTAGAGGGTGCCAATTACTCCCTGCTCGTTTGCTCAAAAGAAACTGGAAAAAGTGCATGCCCTAAAATTCCATATGTAAGTGTCAGTATTGTTTATTAGCTGGAAGAAAGTTGTGTGTGCGATTGTCACTGGGAGAAGAGTTGCTCAGGGAAATAGCGTTATTAAAGTAGGATAAAATTATTAAAAATAGGCTGTTGAACTTGCTATATGTAGGGGAACTGTTAGGTCAGGGTTTGAACTGGTAATTGAGCACCTGGTGAAGGGGTGTCGCTGGCCCAGGGAGCATGGGCAAATTGTTTGCACCTGTGCTCTCCGCCTGGGCAGAACAGGTGGACCCAGGGTAGAGCCAGCCTGAGCTCATTTAAGGGCCAGCCACTGAAGGGAGGGTATCTCTTAGACCTGGGCTGTTTCCTGAGGTGGAGTGCTGCATAGACGGAGATCTTCATGAGTTGGGTGAGTTCTTTTTTTCTTTCTATATCTGATTATTGGTCTAACTGTGAATATTTTACCTGTTATTGTCAAGAACCTCTCAGAAACGATTTTGCTTCTTTGTAAGCAGAATGATATATTTATATATATTTTTCTAAGAAGCTTCTCTGACCGCTATTCAAGACCTCAAATCATTCTATACTGTTAATTGCAGGAGTCTTAAAAGGTGTTCATGGAGTTTTGTGAGTTGAAATGGAAAGAATACGTTATTTCTGCATTCTCATAATCACAATTTGTTGTATTCAAAAGTATGTACATCATAGTGAATATGTAGCCTTCATCCTAATTGTTATAATTGTATTAAAAAGTTGCTTGCTTTTAGTAGAGACTGGACAGCATTCCTTATTCTTACAACAGTGTGATTTTTTTGTAATTTAAACTAATTGTTTAGGACTAAGAGGATATGGTTTTGTTTTGTTTTTGTTTTTCTGTTGTTAGTAATCTTTTCCTTATGTGTACCTACTTTTATGTGCTCGTGGGAAATGTTTAAATGGCATTCTACACTGCTTTGTAATTAAATGCAGTCTTTAACTATTCTGCAGCTTCTAAAACTTTTTTTTTTAAAAAAAGAAAGGAATAAATATGTAATGAAGTGCTGAAGCAGTTATTGGTTTTGGAAAGAAATGTGTACATTTATCTACACATATATGGCAGTGATATTTAATTACACAGAAATCATTGGTCTGATTCTATGTCTTTAGGAAAGCAGAATAAATTCTCAACAACTTTCTGAAGAGAATTATATCCAGTATTGAATTAAATTATCTTATTACATGTATTTGTATGTATTTAAAAAAAAAAGTAGATATTCCATATTGTTTTGTTGGAGATCATTAGGTACTGTAATAGGTAGATGATAAATCACTTAGACTACTACTCATGCATTATATCACAATTTCTTGAAAGGCAGAAGAATGGATAGGGCCCTGCAACATAGAATGAGATGAGGAAATCAGTTCAGATGTTTCCTTTACACACAGGGAAGTAGACAATTTAAACTTTGTTCTGTTCAGCACTTCACAAAGGCAGGTCACTAATCAGTAATTGCTGCGATTAATGGAAACATTTTTCTTGATCTTAAGGAGTTTTGTGTCGCATGTTGAGTTTAATAGATCCTGTAGGAGCAAGTCTAATTCATGAGAGAGAGGTATTTTGTGTCTTTTGCTAGTGGCAAGTAGAAAATTCTTATTAGTTTGATCTTGCAAAATTTCTAAAACAGTCTGTTGAGAAAATAAGGCTTACTGAAATGAATACTTTGAACCTGGTAGTAGACCTTTTCTTCTTTTCATTGTGTAGACTACCTACCAATCCACACCCTCCATAGTTGTGCAGGGGTCTGGCATGTATTGCTCTCCTGCATGTTTTGTCTATTGCGTTCCTTATTAAAATGTTTTGATGTGATTTTTAATTCCTTGTAATTTGTTTGTTGAGAAACATAGGTACCTATTAATGAATGTAAAGTAGTGGCTGTTGCAGAGGAAAGGCTAGATTCTCTTGCTGTATTTATTATGAACAATATTGATCCCTTTTCTGTTTTCTCAGTGTTCAGCAAAGCTGCTAGTAGAATACTAGAAAATGCTACTATTCCTTTTTTTGTATGTGTGTGTCTTTGCTCTAATTATAGTGGAGGAATTGAAAGTTATCTTCATATGTAGTAAGTTACAGAGGCTCAGGAGTAGAACCAGATCATTATTATTGTTGTGTTGTTTTTCTTTTTAAACTTTGATGCATTTGTATTTAACTTACAAGATTGGAAGTGGAAGCTTACTACTGTTGTGCAAACCAAAATAAAATTCTTTGTACATTGTTTGGTGAAGCGTTTCAGTATGAATATGAGGCTTAGGTGTTGATGTGTTGACTTGTATGTTCATATTCTTCCAAATCATTATTCCTATTTAGATGACAGCAACAATTTATCAAAGGTATAACAGATTGAAAATAACATGAGTTATCACGCAAGCAGATGGTGCACAACAGTAACTATGGCTAATAAGGCATTTTTTCCCCCTGAAATACCCATGTTAGCAGATGTGTCCAGACAAGTGAGGAATAGCAAACATGTCTGGAAGGCAGTTCCATCGCAAATTTGGTCTGAAATGAGCTGTTAAGTGTGATTAGAACATCTTTTGAGATAAGTTCATTGCCCGTTACTGAAGCTTACTGGTGATTTTAGTGGTTTAGCTGTGGAATACAACCAGCAAAAATGTATTATAGTGTGTAGTGAGAGGATGAGTGGCACTGAACCCAGATTTATAGTATGAGAGATTCTGAGTATGAGGAAGAACTTTTTTTAATCAAAGGGAGAGTGAGTTCTGGCACAGGTCCCAGAAGACTTATAACATCAGTATTTGGAGACGCGTTTGTTGTTGAGCTGGACAAGCCTTGAGCATCCTGATCTTGCTTGTACTGCTTTGAGTATTGAAACTGAATTAAGTGGCTTTCAGAGTTACTCTCTCTCCTGAATTAAATGAGCTGTGATTTTTTTTTTTTTTTTAAAGAAATTCTGTATGCTGAAGTTCTCAGCAACACTGACATGGAAGTCTCTAATTTTGAAAGGTTGGAAATACAGTTGGATTTTTACACACTTGTTTTGGAGAAAGGGCTGTGTGTAGGAGTTTTGAGTAAATCGTACATTAAAATAAGCTTAAGGATTCAGAGAATTTAAAACAAAAGCAACTTCCATCTGATGTGAAATGTCAATTCAAAATACAACACAACACTGGCTACAAAATGTTGAAATATTTTTGATGTGCAAAGTTTTTGCTCACAACCTTTATGTTCATTAAGGTAGCAGCTGTCCAACCTTTTCTTACTCTATTCTGAATCATGCATCGCTTGTCCTCCTACAACTGCCGTAGAAGTGGAATGAAGTTACCATAAACTCCTTGTCTATTGTGGCAGACTTTAGAAAAATTTAATCCTGTTCTCATGTCTGATTTTTAACTGTATTTCTACTTCTTCGTAATCTGAGGTATGTATTAAATTATGGAACGTAACCTGGTTCTACTTTGAGTTTTCCTTGAATGTCTGTAGTGTTTATTGTGAATTCTTTCAACTACCCCTGCCAGCTTAATCATCTAAAGCCCAAAGTGTATATATACTAACGTAAACTTGAGTCAATAATAAGCCGTTATAAATCTTTGAAGATTGCCATTAAAGATGTAGTACTCTATCCTTTAGTTTTCTGAAACAAATTTCCTCCTGTTCCCTTACACAAACTAGTGAATAGTGTCAGGTTTCTTTGCAAGGAGATGTGGATGTTCTAAGGGTTAGCATTTAAATGAAAGCGAGAGAGATCTGTTATGTATTTTGTGTTCAGTGAGTGATTACCTTAAGGAAATCTAACATGGTCATTTAGTAGTATGATAAGTCTGGATTGATATTGATCATGGATAGCAAAGGCATGATTCAGATGAGCGTGGCACCTGAAAATGCCAGAGAATTCTATTGGAAATCCAGAGAATAGGTACAAGAAGAGTTTGTGAGTTAGTATGATTTTTTTGTTTTTGTTTCTGAATTCATTGTGTAGGCTAAAATGTAGAGTGATTGCTTTTGAAACTCCTTAAGGTTACACAATTTTCTTTTTTTTACTTTTTAAAATTTTTGCAAGATTTTTTGTTTCTGCTTTGCATATATTCAAATTTATGTAATGCACTATCAAGTCTGAACTCTTAATTTTTCTGAAGTTATGAAAAATTTGGTCTAGTGATTGACTGTATCAAGGCTGATTGTATGAATACAGCAAAAATAATGGTTTGTCACTTATATCATTACTCAAATATTGACCTTAACAGTAATTTGAATACGTATGAAATCCTCTTCCTTCTCTCAGTATCATTCCTATCATTGTCTCTTGAAGTTATAGTAATTTCTTTGTCACCAATATGGAAGCGGAAGTTTTTTAAAATGTATTCTAGAGTTTGTGAAAATTTTTTCATTCTTACCTGAGTTGACTCTGTTTCAGTAAACTATAAACAAATTAAAAACAAACAAACAACAAAAACAACCACCTAGATATCTGTAAAGATAAGTGGCAGCAGATATAGTTGCCCTAAACCAGTTTTGGATCACAGAATCAAAGAATTGTAAGGGCGGGAATGGACTGCCAGAGATTAAGTCTAATCCCCCTGCAAAGCAGGCCCCCTACAGCTGGCTGCCCAGGCAGGCATCCTGTGGGTTTTGAATATCTCCAGAGGAGGAGAATCCACAACCCCCCAGGCAGTCTGTTCCAGTGCTGTTACCCTTACTGTGAAGAAGTTCCTTCATATGTTGACGTGGAACTTCCTATGCCCAGGCTGTTCCCTGAAGAGCTCTACACCACCAGGTCATGTCCTAGCCTGTACTGATACTTGTGGTTATTCCTCCCCCTGAGCAAGACTCTGCACTTGCTTTAATTAAACCTGATTTGGTTTATTGCTGCCTAGCTCTCCAGTCTATCCAGGTCTTGCTGAACAAGTGACAACACAGCCTTCTGGTGTGTCAGCCACTCCTCCCAGCTTTATATCATCGGTGTACTTACTGAGTGTGGGCACTATCCCCTCATCAAGGTTGTTGGTGAAGATATTGAACAAGACTGGACCCAGCACTGATCTCTGGGGAACACCAGTCACAGGTCTCCAACCAGACTGCCTCACTATTCACAACCCTCTCATCTCAAGAAAGGCAGCAGTCACAATTTAGTAAGAAAGAAGAAATTGCTTACCCCTTCTTGAGAATCAGAATTCCCTAAACTCCAAAGGAGGTGATCTCTAAATACCGATGCTTCCCATATGGCTGCCAGCTCTTAAATGAGGTTAGAGAGAGGTGGAACCATGGTCTCACAGGTGAATTGCTTCCACTGGTGCACCCAGGGCTGGCTATACTAGGTGCTCAATTGCAGGTTCAGGCTATGACCAAACAGTTTCTATGCAGTGTCTATTTTTAAATCTTGATAGAAATACAGTCAATGAATGGACTGAAGAATT